GCCCATCCTGAGCCCAGGATCGGTGCATACGCCCTCTACCTTGGCCAGGAAGGTATATGCAACGATCCTGGGTCAAGGATGGGCCTTGCCAGGATCGGTGCATGTCTTGCCGTCGTTCGGACGTCCATTTCCCGTGCATTTGCCGGTTCCGTGCGTGTTTTTGTTTGCTCGATGGTCCAGGATGGTCCTCGATGGTTCTCGCCGAGAAAACATGCACACGTCCGAGCGATGCCAGGATGTGTATAGTTCTCTTCGCCCGAGGGCAGTGCCACGGGGAGGGGGGGCCCGCACAGGGGGGGAAGCCGTCGAGCTGGCAGCGGCGATGCCTCGCCGACAGACCGGCGATGGGCCGCCACCAGCAAATCAGCACACGGGCCTGGGCGGGGAGAGCTGCCCAGCCCTCTGCCGGCGACGAGTGGGCGATTTAGGGAGCCCAGAAAGGACGTACGCGCCCAGCTATGTACATGAACACGGCCCCTCGGTCTACGAGACCGGCCGCGTTACACGAACATTTGCGCAGTGCGTGCCCTCGAAACCAGCGTAGATTCATGTACGTGTACGTCCTTCTGTGGCTCCTGACGATTGGGGGTCGCTGCATCCCCCCCCTGAGCCCGTGCCCTCCTCAGCGCTGCCCCTTTGGCTTTCGGGGCACACCTCCGCTCGGGACGATCCCGGCGCCCCTGGAGCGCTCTCGGCAAGGCGCAGGCTGCTGGAGAGCACGCCGAGGCTGGAAAGCCGCCGCGCGAGCCTACGAGAATGTCGGCATGTCTCGCTCGAGCTTCAAGCCTCCCATGACATCCAAGAGATTTCACGGCGCTGGCCACGATACCCACACCCGGACTCCCCTGCCCCTGGCCGCCCGACCCCCCCAGCGTCGCCGCCCGCGCCCGCGAGCTCGCGCAGCAACGCGACGGCCTGCTCCCAACACCGCCCCTTCGCGGGCGGTCGTCGTCGCTGGCGCTTCAGCTGCCGTCGTCAAAGAAATGACGTCGTTGTCGAGGACGCTGCCGCCGTCGTCTCTGTCGTCGTCGTCGTCGTCGCCGCCGCCGCCGCTGCCGCCAACATCGTCGTCTTTCGGGGAGGAGTGGGATGAGGAGGAGCGAGGGAAGAGGGACGGACAGGGGGAGGGGTGGGGTGGGGGAGCAAATTGGGGCGACGAGGGACGGAGGAGGGAGGTGGGAGATCATCCCACCTCCTCCTCCTCCTCCTCCTCCTTCCGCCTCTTGCTTTCTTTTCTGCTGCGCTGCTCCTCGTCCTCTTCCACCTCCTCCTCCTCCTCCTCCTCCTCCTCCTCCTCGGTTCACTACTTTCCTCCTCCCCTTCCTTCCTCCCGTTCCCTCCTCCTTCCCATAAACGCTGGCCTCGACTGGCGGGCTGTGTTGGCCTCATCCTCCGAGGCCCTAGTAAGCCTCTCAGGAAGCCGAGGGAAGTCTGAGGAGGCCCAATACACCTGTGGGGGCTCTCGGGAGCCCCAGGGACCCCTTGAGAAATAAAGCAAAGAACGCCTCTCGGGTAGCCAGAAAACCCTCGCCGGAAACCGAAGAATCTTTCAGGAGGCCCAGGGGGGGTCTCCGAAGGCCCACGACGCCTCTCACGAGGCCCCAGAGACTTCTCGGATGGCCCAAGAAACTTCTCAACGATCCCTGACAGCAGAGATCACAACAACAAAAACGCAGGCTCGCTGGATGCCACGCGCGCGCGGGATCCCAAGGGGCCGCGAGAACTACAAAACGGTAGACCAGAGAGAAGGATACGAGAGCGTCAGGGGCCGATGTCCTCCCGCGCCTCCCTTCGCCCCTCTGCGTTTCTACCCCCCTTCTTCACCTACCAGTATATTGTTTTGCACCCTCGCCACCCTCCCCCCATTCTCCGCCAAACTTGCGAGACGAGGGGGCCGATCACGAAGCCAAGCCCCGGCGCTGCGCGGCAAGCCAGGGCATCGGCAACAACCCGATATTTCCTGCCCTCCCCTCGACCCGAACCCCCTGCCAGACTCGAGCTAAACTGAATTATGCGGCCAAACAAGTTGCCCGGCAACCCGGCAGAAATGAGTGAAACAAATCATATGGCGTATGTGGGGGCATGGGTTCGACGTTAGCCACCGGGTGGGGGCACGAAACGTGTGAATGGTGCGCCGACATGAGGGGGGCGGGTGGAACTGCATGAGAACCCTGCACTGGGCCCTTTCGGCGGAGCTCCCTATGGGGCCACGAGTGGGCCGAAATAGAAATGGGGGAACCGCATGCGCATCCTGCCACTGGGGCCTTCGGTGGAGCTCCCTCATCATGGGGCCACAAAGCATGTGAGAGGTGCAGAAATTGAAGTGGAACCGCATGCGAACCCTGCAACTCGGGCCCTTCGGTGGAGCTCCCCATGGGGCCACGTGGCGTGTGAGGAGTGTGCCGAAATGGAGGTGGAGCCGCACGCGAACCCTGCCACCTCGGCCTCTCGGTGGAGCTCCCTGTGGGGGCACAAAACGTGGGAGTGGTGCCGAAATGAGGGCGAAACCGCATGCGAGCCCTGCCACTGCGGCCCCTGGTGGAGCTCCCTTATGCGGGCCACTGGGGCCTTCGGTGGAGCTCCATGTGGGGTCACGAAGCGTGTGAAGGGTGTACCGACATGAAGGTGGAACCGCATGCGAACCCTGCCACTCGGGCTCTTCGGTGCAGCTCCCTATTGGGGCACGAAGCGTGCGAGCAGTGCGCCGAAATGGGGGGCGAAGCCACATTGCGGCCTTCGGTGGAGCTCCGCATGGGGCCACGAAACGTGCGAGGGGAGTGCCGACATGGGGTGTGGAACCGCATTCGAGTCCTGTCACTGGGCCCTTCGGGTGAGTTCCGTGTGGGGTCACGAAGCGTGTGAAGGGTGCGCCGAAATAGACATGCGAATGGCATACGCAGGGATGGGAGGAGGGAGTAGGCGAGGAGAGGGGAGGGGGATCGGAGAACGCGAGGTGCTGCCTCCTCGAAACGAGGACCCAACACCACAAGGTGGTCGGGAAACATATTGCCCGAACCTCCGAACCCAGAGATCCGAGGATGAGATGTTGTCAATGCGCGGCCCAGAGTTTGTCGTGCAGCATCCATGTGTTATAGCCCTGGGGGGGCACAATCTAAAAAAAGAAGCTTGGATTGAACACTCTCTTCGACGCCTGATGGTTGTCCGATCATATCTCGGGCCTCTGTCGGCATTTCGGGACGATCCGAGCTCACGGGGGACGCTCTCGGCGAGGCGCGGCTGCCAGAAGGCATCCCGAGGCTGGAAATTGCCCAACGACGACGATCGACGACGCCCCCAGCGAACCTCCGAACGGCCCCTCTTGTGGGGGCCAAAAGGTGCAGATGCTGCTGCTCCCCGGACCTCTCACAGGGCGCATTCTACCAAGGATGCCAACAGATCTTCTAGCCGTGGCGACGAGAGCTCTCCTGGACGGGCAGCCTTACCAGTGTCTGTTCCTCCTCTGATCTTGGGCGCCCACGGCGATCGACGACCGACGAGACGACGGCGGCGGCGTGGCCTTCTCGCAGGCGCTCGCAGCCGCGCCGTACATCACCGCGTCCGCGGGGAGCAGTCGGCGCCGTGCGGCACGCAGGAGCTGAAGCGCGGGAGCCCAGTGGCCGCCCTTGCCGTGGGGGGGGTCGGTGGATCGATCGATCCTCGGTCCTCGACCCTCCCCTGAGCTTCAAGCGGCAACTTCTGGGAGGCGTTCGCAAGCACGAGCAAGTATAGGCTGTTAAGCCAACTTTCGGAGCCATCAACCAGAGTAGCCCAGATTGAGCCCAGGGTCAGGCCAGAGTAGGTCAGAGAAGGAGGGATTAGAAACAATTAGAACGGTTGTCGGCCGCGGATATACAAGGTTGGAACCCAACCAGCCCTCTTCTCGATGCGAAGAACTCTCGACGGGAGGCTTTTGCCGATGTTCGGCCTCCTGGGAGCCTCACTGGGCACGGGGACCGTCTAGAAACGCCTCAGGAAGTGAAATCTGTTCTAAGAGAAAGGCCCAGGCCTCGATCCTCGATCCTCGATCCCCGACCCTCGATCCAGGTTCTCCGACGAGATGCTTTTGTCAATCCAAGCATTTTCCTGTCTTTGTTGGCCCCTCTGGAGTCTAGACCAGCAAACGTGGAACCGGTACAAGAAGCATCCCCAAGAACCCCAAGAACAGGCTCCGGACCTCTGGGGCCGCACATCGAAAGTCAAAACAAGTATCGTCGGGTGTCTGGGGTCGTAGGTTCGTTCGGCCCGGGCCCGGCCAGGAGAAACCTTCCACAAGAAGCCCAACCCTGAGACCCCAGGACGTCCACGGATTTTTGGTATGGGAACGTCGCGCCTTCCGCAGCAGAGCATCGAAACCCAAGAAACCCAGAGCACCCTGGATGCAAGCAGGGTGTTTCTTGCCATGGGCTCCCACTGTACGTGTTTTTTTTTCTGCTCATGGAGGAGGAGGAGGCGGAGGAGGAGGAGCAGGAGGAGGAGGCCCATTTCTGGCCCTGGGCCGTCGGAGATCGGTCGGGGACGGAGCCTGAACCTCGGGAGCGAGCTCGGGCGCGGTTTTCAGCCGATTTCGCTCGTCGTCGTCGTCGACTGATCGGGGCCCATTTCTGGCTCTGGGCCGTCGGAGATCGGTCGGGGACGGAGCTTGAGCCTCGGGAGGGATCTCGGGCGCGGTTTCCAGCCGATTTCGCGCGTTGTCGTCGTCGACCGATCGTCGTCGTCGATCGAGGATCGAGGTCTTCGGACTCTTTCGAGATTTGGCTTTGGGCCGTCGGAGGCAGGATGGGTCAACATCGAGTCGGTGACGCATCGAATCGAAACGAACATCTGATCGGGCTGCATCGGTTCGGGATCGAGACTACGAGAATGACACCTGTGCGCCTTACCATGTTTGGGCTCGCGTCAGTCTCCGCTCGAACGCGGTATGGTGCATAACTAGTTTGTCGGCTCGAAGGGCCGAAAAACTACGGGTCGAGGATCGACGACGCCTGGGGAGACGTCAACGCGGTACGGTGCACAACGTTTTGTCCGCGGACAAGTCGAACCAGATCGACTGCGATCAGATTCTCAACTACAGTCAACCCGAATCATAGGGATGCGCGATAAGGGTGCAAGGGCCTTGGACGCCCCTTTCGAAGCTTCTCGAAAGGGCGCGGCCAACGAAAGTGGTCAAGGATGGACCGAGGAGGCAAGGATGCGAGGGTACCCTTCGGAAGGTTGTCCATCCTTACTATGCAGGTTGACTCTCGCCAGGAACTCAAAACCAAATCGGATCGATCGAGTCGAGATCGGCCCTGGAACGGCCCTCGGCGGCGCTCTGATGCCCTCGGCGGCTCTGGGTTCGCCGGCGCGACGAGCGGCCGCCGAGACCTGTGGGCCAAATCTCGAGTCTTGAGCGACGGGAGCCTTAAGGCTTGGGCTGATGGGCCGATTGTCCACCACCACTACCATAGGTAGGAGAGGGAGGGAGGGAGGAAGGAGGAGGAGGAGGAGGAGGAGGACCTCCCCAGCCTTCCTTCTCCCCCGCCCTACTTATGGTAGTGGTGGTGGAAAATTTGCCCATCATGAACAGAGGTGGCAACACCAGTCAACATCGAATCGGGAAATCGGATGTGCGTCGGATCGGGCTGCACAGGTACGGAATCGAAACCGAACCAGATCAGCCGCGCCAAGATGAATAGCATCACCATTGCAAGCCTCATCGGATCTCCAGGATGTCGGAATCGAATCGGATCGAGCTGACCGGTATTCGCTACCACGAATCGGACCGATCGGATCGGAGTGCACCCTGGAAACAAAGCCTCCGAATCGCTGCTGCGAAATGGAGCGATCGGATCGGAGTGCACCCTCGAAAAAGTGTCCTTTCCCTCCCCGAGGTCACCGAGGTCCCGCGCCCGGCCCCCCGCGGGTCCTTCTCGCACGCGCTGATGGCCGTCGCCACCGCCTCTGGCGGTCGTCGTCGCTGCTGCCGCTGTCGCCCTCGTCGAGGTCGCCGTCGAGGGCGTCGCCGCCGCCGTCTCCGTCGTGGCCGTCGAAGTCGTCGTCGCCATCGCCGCCGTCGTCGCGGAAACGATCGAAAGGATTGGATGCTGTCTGCAAGGCAGCCACTTGTTGGAGAATCGAACCCATGTGCGAACATGGAAGTGTGAAGTGGAGCGAAGGAACGGACGACCGCGCGAAGCGTCCCTGGGAAGGGGCGGGCCGACTGACGGCGGCCTGCCCAGGGAGGCCATGGACGAGGAGGACTTGGGCTCTGGCGGCGCGCACGCGGGGGTGGCGCGAGGCGGGGCGCCTGTCTATGAACACGGGGGGGGCCTACCAAGGCATTTGGGCCCTTTTTACAAGGGCCCAAGGGGTTCCAGGGAGCCTTCTCAGAAGCCGGGATGGCTTCTGGTCAACCCCCTGCCCTCTTCGAAGCTCTCCCGCCTTAGAAGGCCGCCTCCCTCCGCGGCACCCCCTGATACGCGCCGCCAGGCTCTGGGACTCGTGCCTCTGCAAGTGCACGCTCGCGCCCGCAACGCACTGGCAGTGCCTCCCAAAAATGCTAGGGTGCTCCCCGAGCCCATCCTGCACGGCCTCGGGGAGCTCGCCGCCTCCTCCTCCCGTTCCCGCTGATACTCTCTGCCTGCTCCGCCGTCTGCCCTTCCTAGAAGATGGGGGTCGGAGGATCGCGGCAATGCATTGCTGACGTCGGCTTGGCGAGAATCAGCCTCCACATCGCGCCACATCGCCGATACATCGGCGATGCGGCGCGATCCTCCGACTCTATCTACTCAGACCCCATGAGAAGGCCTGGACTTCCCCACCTCACCCCTCATCCTCCACAAGTCTGGCTCACTGCCCCGCAACGTTCCTCGAACCCTTGGATGCACAGCTTCGGCGAGCAGCGAACAGCGAACAACTGCCAACACCCAGGAGGGCCCCCTAGGGCGGGCGACAAGCGTGCTTGGCACGCTGGTTCTTCGATAATAGCAGGTGAAACTGCCGCAAGGAACCTCGTGTGCGAGTCGAACAGCGCGACCTGCGGCAGCTCTTGTTCGAAGGCCTCGCGGGAACTTGGAAACAACACCGGAACCTCCAAAAAGGCTTCTGCAGTAGAGGGCAGACACAACCGTCCTTACAATAAGCACCCAGAAGAGCGGAAGCTTGCAGCAAACGCAGCTAAGAAGAGGATCGAACAAGGCAGGGCTGTTCAATAAACGCCCAACGCCCGGGGCTGCTTCATAAGCACCGGCTGTGGCGGTCGGGGTGTGTTTCCTCCCTTGATGCAGTTGATGCAGTTGATGCAGTTGGTGCAATTGGTGTGCTTTTTCATCCTGCATTTTCCGCATCTGCCGCCCGTCGGGTGCCCCACCGCTCGTGCTCGCTCGGGCGGGCGTGCGCTGGCGTGGCGCGCATCCAGCGAGAGGCGGAGAGCGCGAGAGGATGGCGGACGGCACCGGGAGCCGAGGGCGAGCCAGCAGCCAGCGGAGGGGGCGAAGGAGGATCACGATACCCGAGGCGAGGCTGCCCTCCCTGCCCTCCTCCCCCTCTGCCCTCCTCCCCGTCCTCTCGCTCCTCCCCTTGTCCCCGTCCTCTCGCTCCTCCCCTCGCCGTCCCCTTCATCACCTTGCGCAGCGGACACAAAGGATGTGTGCTGACGCTGGAGGCCCTGGGACAGGTTGGCACGCACATGATGAAGCAACCATGTGTGAGCTTGACCACTGGAATGCAGAAAATCCGACTGGGGCTCAAGCCTTGAATGACCTGTCCGGCCAAATGAGCCGGATCGGGGGTGCCCGATATCCCAACGTCGGTGGGCCCTGCAGGGGTAGGCCTCGCAAGAGGTCGCAGAGCACAGCCCTCATCACCCTGAGAACCCACGCTCTCCGAGGCAGGACCTCCAGGATCCCGACGAGAACGACGAAACTCCCTCGCCACGGGGGAAGGGGGGAGGGCGCTGAATGAAACGAGTCAAACAAGGAGGCTGGCGCGAAAGATGAGCGAGCGGAGAGAATAACAAGCGACAAACATTGCGCGCCGGACAACCCGCAATAGGCAAGACAGGTCTGGACCTAAACGGTGTTTTTCGTTTTCGTTTTGTGTTCGTTTTCCCTCGTTTTGTCTTCAATCCGCCTCTACCGCAAAACGAAGTCGGAACGACAACGGCCCACGAACTCGCAAAAACACCGTTTAGGTCGAGCCCTGAGGCAAGACAACACGCAGAAAAAAAATTCCACAGAGCGGCTCCTCCCGCCCCTAGCAGCCGAGGCAGGCTTCGCAAGGAGGTCGCAGAACGCGGCCCTCGCCCCTGAGACCACATTGGCCGGGGCAGGATCATCTCCCAACTCCGACGAGAACGGCTCGTACGCCCCAAACGTACGGGGGGCAAAAACAGTGTCCATGCCGATAGTCCCCAGACCTCTCCCGGGATGCGTTCCGACCGGGACGTCGAGGATAATCCAGCCGTGGTGGTGACGAGGGCTCTCCAGGACGAGCAGCGGTATGGGTATCCTTTCCTCCGAGAGACCGCGCCCGTCGCACACTCCGAAGGGGGGGGGCTCCTCCTTAGCTACCCCCCCCCCTTGGACCTGCCCTGCCAGAAGCCCCCCCCCCTCCTTTCTTCCCGCCACTCCGAAGCGACCCCCCTCCATCGTTAAAGGCTTAACGACTTCTGCCGTCCTTCGACTCGCGCTGGAGCGGCCGCGAAGTGCTCGAACTTTCCCTGGAGATCTCTGGATTTACCTGGATTTACCCAGATGTATCTAGATCTATCTGGATTTACCTCGATTTATCTGCATTTACCTGGGTTTATCTGGCTCGATTCTCACAAGTCGATTGGCGAAAAGTCGACAAGCCCTAAGGGACTCCACACTCCACCCTTTCGCGCTCTGGAAGCTACCCTTCCTCTGACACCAGAGCAGACCTTCCCCTGCACCCCTGGGCGCGGGCGAGGCGCCGCAGCGTTGGGCGGGCCGTCGGCCCCCTCCATCGAGGCGACGATCTCCAGGGCGAGCTCCTCGCGGGACAGGGGGCGCGGCGCGGGCTCTCGCCCTTGGCCGAGTGCTGGTACGGATGCAGGGGCCCCCTCTGGGTCTCCATGGCGCCTCCTCTGCGGACCCCACAGGGGGGCCCCCCGGGGGCCCCCCGGAGCCTCCTGGAGGCAGGGAGGCCAGTGAGGCCTCCGGCATGATCTCCGAACTTCGCCTCCTCAGGCCGACCATCGGACGGCCTCCCATTGCCACGGTGAACCCCGTTGGCTGGGTAGAGGGATAGAAAACGACACGCATGAACTTTTGGAGGTCCGCGCGGATCGTTGGGATCGGCGCTGGACCCCTCTCAGAGCACGCGGAGCGCACGCGGAGCGCACGCGGAGCGCGCCACGGGTTGCGCCTGAACCGCCGCCACGGGGGCCAAGCACAAATCCAAGAAATCCGCGCGGAGCTCGGAAAGTGGTCGTTTACGTAATTTGTCTTGTTCCGATCAATACCTCGGCCCTCGCGGCGAAGGAGCGCCAGCAGCGTGCATCGAACGCTCGAACGCTCTGGAAGGGCAGCGGCCCGACGCGGACCCCACGGCAACACTGGGAGCTGTGACAATTCAGGGATGCCGATCAGGCCAAACAGTCGCGGCACATGGCTAGGACCTCGCAATAACGCCGACAGCGGGCACGGAATGTCGCGAAAGAGTGAGGGAGGGAGGCGCCCGTGCGAGCGGAAGGCTGGCTCGGGAGACCTGGCCCTAAGGTCGTTCAAGGTACATTTTCGCTTGCCCGAGTGCCTCCGGAAAGCAACAAGACCGCGTGGGCAACAGCAAGGAACAGCGGAAGGAGGCGGAAAAGCAGAGACAATGGGCAAGGATGGGGATGACGAAAAACGGCGGACGACGATGACGGAATCATTGATGCGGACACTTATGAATTTGGTAATGTGGGTGAAAATTGTGGGGGTCCGCAACATGCGCGGGCCCTGGGAAGCCTGACGTGGGCGCACGGCCGAACCCATGCCACTGCAGGGTACAGAGGCAAGCCGCTCCGTACATGGTGTGGTCAAGCTGCGCCACTCTTTGTAGTCACGTGTTCAAACCATCAAAATATGCATGCCGAGGTTTACCGCGAGGCGGCGCAACAAGGTTTTCCCATTTAGTGTGCGTTTTTGTTGCTGTGTGGATTGCCTCAAAATATGGCAAATCACGGAACTGCGGGCTGCTGGGAAGACGGCGTTACCACAAATGGTCACGCGGCGCAACCTGCTGGATGGATTCACGCGCAACGCGCGCCATTCCTCAGCCGCTCTCTCACACCGCGCGCCCCGATCCACTGTCGCAGTCCGACAACGCGGCGCTCTAGATGAGGATGGCCATGGAGACGAGGATGAGGATGCGGACAATGGTAGTGATGATGTCAAAGGTGATGCTGCTGGTGATGATGTTGGTGATGCTGCCGGCGATGATGATTCATTCGTTCAACCCCATGCGAGCTCCCTGGGTAGGACAAGTGCAAGACAATGAACTGCGAATCCTGGAACGCAGGTCGCTGGGCCACCGCATGCCTTTGGCCAACGCGTTCAGTGTCTCAAAAACACCAGACGAGCATGTACAACATAGAAAACATGGGGCTCTATGGCACTGCTGAACGCAACACCCTCACATCAAGTCAAGAAGTTCCGGGAGGGGAATGCACTCGGGGCCCTCGTGGACTGACCGCAAGGCGCCGCTCGCGCCACGCGAGGTGGACAATGCGACAGTTAAGCCAAGTTCAGCGACAAGCCCTCGGAGTCAACAGCGTTTTTTTGCTCACTAAATTGATCCAATCGAGCACGACCTCGCTACAGCCGTCAGTGCCGAATGCGCGTCGCACGTGCAACTTGGCGTTGTTGCGCTTTTTTTTTTTCGGACTCGAACAGGCCGCAAGTTGCCTGCCGCGTCCCCCCCCAAAAAAAACAAAAACAGCGCGCGGGGCTCAAACTGCCCTCCGAATAATTTGGCAGGGACATGTAGAACGAGGCTTTGCGTTCGATGGCCGCGCCCCCGGGCTTGCGCTGCCGCGGCGGCTTGATTTGGTTAAGCTGCTTGACGGACTTGGTTTATCCCATCATCGTTCTGTGTCTCCTCGTCGACCTCCTCGATCTTAGGCTCATCTTTCTCGTCGTCCTTCCTGTCCCCCTCCGCATCCCCGGCGCCCGCGGCCTCCTCGCCCTTGGATTCTAGACAGGGGGCCCGGTGACAGCCGAGAGCTCAGTGGCCGAGTCGTTCGCGCGGCTTTCCCCCGAGAGCTCAGACGGGCCCTCCATCAAATGGCCGGCGATCGTGATGCCGGGCTTGATTTCGCCGCGCGCCGCGCGTTTCCTGTTGCGCCGCGATTGACTTTCCGATCGCGCGCGCAATGTCCGAGGCGAGACGGACTAGAATTCGCCTCCAAACTGCCCGACGCGGAGATCTTGCCGCCCGTTGTCATGGCCTCCGTGAAGGCCATGATGCCAGACCTGGCGATGGTGCCGATGATGTTGAACGGCGCGTCCTTGGTTATGCCGTCTTGCGAGCGGCCGCGCTTCTTCCTCGGAGTTACGACGAGATTACGTGCAAGTGTCGGCCCGCCCCGTGGCCCCGCTGGGCGCGCGGCTAGCGGCGAGCGCGCGCGCCCCCGAGAAGGCCCGACGCGCGGGCGCGCGGGCAAATATTGGAAAAGCGTTAATATTCAGGCCGGGCACTCGAGCTACGCCGTCGACAACGTCGCAATATCGGGCGCGCCGGCTAGCCACCTGGCCCTGTCGGCGGCCATAAGCGCCTGGCGTCGCCCGCCGGCGCGAGCAACGCGTCGGCGAAATTCGTCTTCCCATGTCACGCGTCTGCCGCGCGATGGCCCCGCGAGCCTGCCGGGGCCCTCGCGCCTTGCGCCCTGCGCCCGCGCGGAGCCGCGCCAGAACGTCGCTCCCCAGACCCACGCGAGCGCACTCGACCTGCTGATGCGCCCGGCCCAAGACCCCTTCCTCGCCGCGCGCGCCGTCGGCCAGCCCCTGGCGCCCGCGGCGTGGGCCTTGGCCCTCGCGCGTCTTGTGGCCCGCCGAACCCACTCGGGCCGCGGCCCCTCGAAACCTCGTCGATCGCCGCATGCGCGTCGCAACGTCCGGTTCGGAACACTCTTCAGAAACGCGCCTCGCCCGCGCGCGGCACCTGCGATCCTCGCCCGCGTAATATTATATGGCGCCACTGCCGATGTTCGCGCCGACCGACGTCAATCCCCCGAGCGGCGAGATGTCCGCGTTCATCAGCAGTCGCCCCATGGCCCAGGACTCCCTCCACCACGTCGCCACGCGGCGCTCCAGCTTCGCATTGGTCACATCTGCCAGCGATAGCATTGCGCCGAGCACCCCCACGGGCCCCCCCTTTTCCCAGCGCAATCAGCGAGAAACCGCCGCCACATGCTGCGTCGCCTCGCTTTCGAACATCGGGGAGAGTCGCGCGCGGCTTGCATTCCGCGGGGCGCAACTTCAAACCGCACTTCAGCAGCGCAGCCCGCGCAGAGACGACCGCGCGCTCCAAGGGGGTCCGCGGCCCCGCGGCGAGCACAGCGTTGTCGGCGAAAGAAACGCGCGCGAGGCGCTTCCCGTCTAGCGCGCGCCCAACCGCAATGCCGCACCCTCGTCGCTGCAATAACGCGTCGACTTCCCTCAACGTGCTGCGCCATCGCCAGGTTGGACAGAGCGGGCGACAGCGGGCCCCCCTGACGCGCGCCCCGATGCACCTTGAAGCGGCAACTTGCTATGCCAGGAGACGCCTGCGCAGATGCGGACATGTCTTCGCGGAGCTTTCGAAGAACCCTCGCCGCTTTGGAACCCGCGCATGACAACAGGAGTGCCTCCAAGAGTTGCGACTGATGCGCCTGGTCGAAGGCTTTTTCAACACCCAGCAATGTCAACATCCAGCATGGTCACGGCGCGCAAAGCATTGTCACATCCCCTTCCGCTACGGAAGACATGTTGCTCTTCCCGCAGGTGCTGTTCCACGCTTTCCTCGACGCGGTCGTCGAGCGCGAGAATGAGAAGTTTCGCCGTGACCGAGATGATCGAGATGGGCCTGTAGTTCTTCAACTCGTATATTGCGCCTTTCTTGGAGATGACAGACAACGGAGCGACCTTCCACTCGCTGGGCGCGCCCGGAACTCCATCCAGAATATGCGTGACATGTGCCGCAATGGCGCCCATCAGATCTGCGTGCCCCGTCCGAAGCGTTTCCGCTGCAAGTCCGTCGTCGGCGACCGCTCCTTCGTCCGCTCCAAAACCGCCGTGACCTGCGCCGCTGTCGCCGGCGGAATAGATTGGGGATCGAATTGCGCCTCGTCCTCCCGTCGCGATACAGGTCGCCCTAAAATTAGCGAACGCATCCGCGATGCCAACGCCATCTGTCGCCGCCTCCCCTGCAAGATTGGATCGAAGTGGTTCGTTATACGCCGGCCTGCCGCTGTTGGATCCGTTGGAAACTGCGCAACCATTGACCCTGTTCGGCTGCCTTGCGAATCTCTTTATCATAACGACGTCGTCTGTTTGCGCGGAGGGCCCTCCGCAGACGCTTGGGCAGACATTCCCTTCGCTCCTTGTCCCGTTCCTGCCGCCTCGCAGCGTGAAATTTGAGAACTTCGCCAGGGTGCTTTGGGCTGGGGCGTCGCAGCCGTCAACCCACCCTTCTGGGCAGACTGTAACCATCACATCTACATCTAACAAAATCAAATGGCCTTCCGCAAGGCCTTCCGTCGGCAAAGCGTGGTACAATGACGGTTGTTCCCGCTCGTCGAGGGCCGGCTGCAACCCTCGCGCGATCCTGGCCCCGCGGCGCACATCGAATATCAGACTCGTTGCTGTCAGCCGCGCTCTGTGCAGCCAAGCGTTCCAATTTGCGGCCCCGATGGTTGCACTGACGATGCCCATGGCCTCCGATAGTGCTGTCGTCTTCGGCCAGGAGCTTCTGGCCAAGCGCGGCGTTTGCGTCGATCCAACAGGAAAACAACGTGCGCTTCTGATGCTGAGCCCCAGTCAGTACTGCCTCTATCTCCATCAACTGTGCGTCAATAGTGCCGCCCGCAAGCCCGCTGTGACATTTATGTGACGTGACGCACCTGCATGTGCAACCATCTAAAAACAACAACACGCCACAGAAAATCTAGCGTGCGATATTGCGTACCGGCTCCATGCATCACCCATCTCATGTGAGCAACAAGACGGCGACGGTGCGTTTGGTCGACGTCCGTGCCCGTGAGGGGCACCACAACCGGCAAGACTCGCAAACCTTTTCGGCGAGTTCCTCTGCAAAGGGCCCTTCCTGGTACAAAGGGATGTCCCACCGTGGCACGTCGTCCAGAAAATCAGCGACGTCATGAATCGTCTTTTCTCCCATCCCATTCGCATTCCAGTAAAGAACAACAACCCCCTGAGGACTTGCAAGACCTTTGCCTTACACGTCCTGCGCCCGAGATGGAGAATCAACCAAAACACCGGCGCCTGGCTTCACCATTCCCGTCCTGCGCAACATGAAAAAAATACATCACCGCACGCGGTCGCATACAAACCCCGACCCCCGCCGCCCCCCGCCGAAGGAACCCCTACTCCACGGCGTGCAGCTCGTCAAATTTGGCATGGTACCCTGTCGCGTGTCCCCACACATGAATGGATCCATCTCTCCACCCCCCCTGCCGTGTGCTCTTTCCACCATGCCACACCCTTCCTGTAGTTCGTGTCAATGTGCTGTTTGACCGTGACCTTGCGCCCCCCGTTGTCTTCGATAATACCCCGCGCGAAGTTCCTCACAACCCGCTCCCTCTTCGCTTCTTCCGACTGCGGGTCACGGTTCCGGTGGTCTGCGTTGCCGTAGATCTTCTGCTATTCGTACGTGTGCATGCTGTCCGCGTGCTTAAATAATCCCACATCGCGTCTGGAAGCTTGAGCCGAGCTGCGTATCAATCGATGTTGTGTCCTGGGGAAATGTGCCGGAATTCGCTGCGCGAACCAACTTCTCCACCTCCTCTGGTTCGCCCTTGCCCACAAGCTGGCTGCTGTCACCGAAGTCTTGGTCCACGTCAACCCCTCCACCTTCCCGATGTCCCTTACCAAATTAAGTAATTCCTCCCTGAACTGTTTGACATTTGTCATTGCCGCATCGGCCGCTTGCGTTGCCGCATTCGCTGTGTGAGCTGCTTGCTTTGCTAAAGGCACTTGCTCCCCCCCACATCTGCTTCAACCTCCCTCATATCTTTATGCATGCTTGTCGTCGTCTTCATCATATTCTTCAGAATGTTCATAATGTTCATCTTCGTGTCCCCGTCCCCGCAGCCATTGCGGAGGTGAGAGACCGAAGCGATGAGCACATCCTCGCTTTCATTGTCGTCGTCGTCGGCGTTCGAAGTCTTCGCCATTTTCTTCTCTGGGGCCGCTGGATTGCTGCTCCCGGCCTTGGAATTTCCGACCTGCTCCTCCCGCGTTTGCCTCTGTCATCCTCTCGGTCCTTTAACCCGAACGTTTATTAGAGCGAGCTTTAACCCGAACGTTGATTCGAACCCAAATTTTTGCTTTAAGCCATTGCCCCACTTTTCCTCGCAAGAGACCATTGCCGCGCTTCTGGAAAGAGCCTGAACAACACGGCAGCGCTGTGATGATGAACGTGATGGTGGTGATGAGGATGATGCCGATGATGCCGATGATGATGATGATGATGATGATGATGATGATGATGATGATGATGATGATGATGATGATGATGATGATGATGATGCGGGTGGTGATGATGACGCGGGAACCGAAGCCCCTGAACATCAAAGTTTGGATCGTCTGCGAGTCGATCCTCGGCGGCGACGCAGATGACGAAGACGTTTGCCAAGACGGGATCGGGTCCTGGACATCGAAGATTTCCCCTGGACTAATTTGTCAACGCGGTTGATGTTGCAACCACAGGGCTTGGGGAAAGGCTCCAAGAACCCACAAACAGCGACAAGCTATGAAAACCAATTTCCCGCACGACCCTTCGGATCATGCCGGCCCGTAAAACGCGACCTTCGGACTTCTCTTGGGCCAAAATGCGATTTGCCCGGAACCCGAACACACTTTCATCGAACATCGATGCTGCTCGTTCACCTTCCCTCATCCGTCCTGCCGACTCGATCCCGAGCGGCAGAGGAGACGAAAGCGGCGACGACAAATGGATCGGAGGAAAGCTGGGATATCAAGAGAGGACCAACCAATCAACTGCCGACATTTAGCCCGTTTTCCCGCCGCTTGTCGTCGCCGACAGGAGACCACGTTTCGAGACAAGCGCCTAGCGGCGGGGCCGAAACCGGTTGCATGCAACAGCTCTCGTAGTGTATCTCCGTTTTTTTTCCGAATTCCCCCTTCCGTTCTTTGCGACCTTCCCTCAGGACCCCTTTTCCTTTTTGCTGGTTCGATGTTCGGCGGCGGCGGAAGCGACGGCGGCGACGACGAGCAGCGCCATCCTGATGGGCGCAAAAACCAAGATCCCTGCTCACGCGAATCGCGGGGCGGCGCCTGCCAAATTGAAAATCTACTGCGGCGGCGACGCCCAACCGCCAGAGAGAAAGCGACAGACAGCACACATTGGGGGAAGGGGGAGGGGGGCGGGAGGCAAAGGCGGCAGAAGCAGGGACCGTGATCCAAGGCGACACCAGTTCGAAATGAACAAGAACTGCTGTCGGCGCACATTTTGTCGAACCGATGCGTTTTTTTGCACTGGCCGCAGCCAAGGAGGCGCCAGCTGTCCCGCGGGCCCGCGAGCAAGGCAGGCCGGACGAAGGGGGTCGTGGCCAAGCGGGGATTTGCCCAGTAGTTCACATTGCTGATTTTCCGAGCGCCCCGTGGCGCCGAAACCGGCCATGCATCGAGGACTGGCCCCTCGGCGGGGCGACCGAAAACAGCTGCGCGCAGCAGGTTTCGCACCCCCCCCTTTTCTTCCCCAGCTTTTCGTCCGACCCGAACAAAGCGGGTAGTCCTCCTACCCCCCTCTGTCGTTGTTCCTGTAATCGTCGACGAATACGACGACGACGACGACAACGACGAAAACGAGGACGAGGACGACGGACGGCGGACGGCAGACGGAGACGGCGGCGACGACGACGACGACGCACTGCGGATGCCTCTTGGGGGGGGGGGGGTGCTGCGAAGGCCCTCTGTGCTCGACGGCGACGACGGCGACTGCGACGACTCGACGGCGACGACGACGCACTGCGGATGATCTGTGGGGTAGGGGGGGTCGCAAGCCCTCTGTGCTCGACGACGACGACGACGCCTGAAAGGGGGAAAAACATCGTCTCGGATGAGTACGACCTGTATGACAACTTCTATACGAACAAAAACCGTCGTTTTGAGGCTGTCATGCAGGATGGTGCACGATCCCTTCGGCGGCGCCCGCGACGACCCCCTGGCGCGCGTGATTTAGAGCATGTTTCGCGCCCCACGGGGTCTATTCATCAGCCCCGGGAGGTGCACCCATTTGTTAGTCACAAGCTGAAAATAAACAAGTACGTTTGACCGATGCAGGAAGCAGGCACGTTCTTGCCACTTTGCTGCGCGATCCTGCGCCCGTGCTGCACGTTGCCGAAATACTGTGCCCGTTGACAGTACCCCCCCCCGGTTCGGCTACACGCAAGAAGGGCCCTAGACAAGCGTGACTTTTGGTGCGCGGTTTGCCGATCGTTGCATACAGTGCGACGCTGGCGGCCTGCGCGCACGTGTTTGCACCCCCCCCGGCGCCCGCTGCAAGCCGCGCACCGAATGTCAACATGAGAAAACCAGGCTGGTTTTCGGAGCATGTCACAACTCGGGTCTCCGGCGGCCGTTCGGAGCGATGCGTGAACCCGTGGAAGACTCTCGACGAATCGCAGCTGCTGGAAGGCATCCTCAGGCAGGAAAAACCAAGAGGAACGTCCACACCGTCTGGGGGTTGTACCCGTTTCGGCGGCGCTGACACTAAACGGGTAACAACCCCCTCTCGCACTCCTACCCCTTTCGAAGGGCCCTCGAACCATGACCTCTGTTCAACTGTTGTTCGAAATACTGAAGTACTTTGAGACCGGATTTGCAGCACATGCTCGAGGGTATGTGGAACCCAGATTGCGGCATGCGACTATAGTCCACATTAGGCTTGCAGAATCCCCAAAGGCGGTTGGGACCGGGTTCACGAGCCTGGGTGCGGTTGGGACCAGGCTTGTGCGACAAGGGCCCTGTTAGGACTGGGTTTGTTCGGCCCCGAGAGGCTCGGGGAAGCACTGACCGGGGTAACCAGAAGCCCGGGTCGGCCAGGGCCCTATCGCGAAGCCCGGCGAGCCGCTTAGTAGCTCTCAAACCCAGGTCAGCGGAGAGCGGACAGAAGGACCCTACTGTAAGATCAGACGGTGCGAACAAATGCACCGTCACGAAAAAACGCTACAGGAACCACCTCCACCTTTCTGCTGTGAGGAACCCAGGGCCAGAAGCAAGGCGAACTTCCCCGTTGGCCCCAGGTGGCTCACAAACACTCATTAGCGCTGGCCCGTTACTTGGGCCCCGGTAGGCAAGGCTCCCAGCGCTGCCGGCGCTCGCAGGCGGCCGCCGCGGCGCCGAACATGGCCGCGTCGGGCGCCAGGCGCACCTGGTTCGCCTCCGGACAGGGTGGTCGGGCGGCCTCGTGGCCGCCGCCACGGCCGCCTTCGCCTTTGACGCCGCCGCCGCCACCGCCGCCGTCGTCGTCGTCGTTGTCGTCGTCGTCGTCGTCGCCGTCGATGTCGCCGCTGCCGTCGCCGTCGCCGTCGCGGCCGTCGCCGTCGCCGTCGCCATCGCCGTCGCTGTCGCTGTCGCCGTCGCCGTCGCCGCCGCCACGGCAGTCTTCACCGCTACGGCCGCCGCCGCCGCCGCCGCCGCTGTCGCCGTCGCCGTCGCCGTCGCCGACGTCGACGTCGCCGTTGCCGTTGCCGTCGCTGTCGCCGCCGCTGTCGCCGTCGCCACCACCGTCGCCGCCGCCGTCGCTGCCGCCGTCGCCGCCGTGGCCGTGGCCGTGGCCGTCGCCATCGCCGCCGCACGGCCACAGCCGCCTTCGCCGCCGCCGCCGCCTCGGCCGTCGTCGTCGTCGTCGTCGTCTCCGTCGGCGTCTTCGTCGTCGGGATCGTCGTCCAGGTCGTCCCCGTCGTCGTCGTCGTCGTCGTCACCGCCGTCGTCGTGGCCGTCATTTTTGCCATCAATGTCGTTGAGTCCGTCGTCGCCGTCGTCGTCGTAGTCGTAGTCTTCGTCGTCGACGTGGTCGTGGTCGTGGTCGTGGTCATTGCCGTCGTCGCCGTGGTTTTCGTTGTCGCCGTCTGCGTGGTCGTGGTCGTGGCCGTGGTCGTCGTTGTCATCGACTGGGCCGTCGTCGTCGTCCGCACCAGTTTTCTAAACCTTTTCCCTGGCACTGTTTTCTCATCCCGCGTCGTTTTTGGACGGTGCGGGGGCCTGGGTGGGGGGCCCAAAAGGCAGAACATGTGCAAATAATTCTGCCATGCAATGTACCACGTCGCGAAGAAGTCTTGGATACGTCCTCGGGGCACATCTTCAGCATCACGTGGCATCGGAAACCTGTGAACCGCTAGATCCTGCGAGATCGCCGACCTCGAGGGACCCCAGTCGCCGTCCAGCAGGACCCTGATCTGATGGGCCAATTTTCCACCACCACCACCACCACTATGGGTATGACGGGGGGCTCCTCCTCCTCCTCCTCCTCCTCCTCCTCCTCCTCCTCCTCCTCCTCCTCCTCCTGCCCCACCATCGGGAGAATGGGGAGCTCCCTCTCTCTACCTCCTCCCTCTCCTGTCTATGGTGGTGGTGGTGGAATATCCTGGGAGGGAAACTCAGGAACCGAACTTTATACACCGATGCTTTTTCCGGTCCCGCACTAAACCTCGCACAAGAAAACGGATTATGGCGTGTACAGCACCCTGGTGTATACATGTTGTGTTGTTTCCATGGGAAAACGGGGAAACAAGTATACACCACACCACCCCGACGTCGTCCCCGACCCGCAAGAAAGCCCTGGGATTGAGCAGCAGCCCGCCACTGGTAATGTCGACGTTCCAGTTTCCCAGAAACGCGAGGCCTGGACTCCTCGGCCCCAACGCCTCCGCCCCAGGAGGAGGGCGCTAGCTGCTACCCCATACCGGCTCTGCCCAGGCCCATCCGGGGCTCAGGATTCCCAGACCTCCTCGCGCTGTGAACAAAAATCACAAGCACACAACGAAGGTCTCGCTATTTTCGGCCTCCCGGGGCCCTTCCCAGGCCTCGGGGCCGTCCAAGAGCGACTCAGGATGTAAACCTGGTCCCCAGGAAGGGGTGCAGATTTCTGAGGGGCACGCAGTGACAAAAATCACGACGTCCGGGGTCTGGGCTTGTGTCCACGCCAGGAGGCAGATCTGTTCTAGACCGCGGGCCTCTCCCCGGGAACAAGTCACGGGGGCGTCCATGGTCATGAGGGGGGCGTCCAAGAGGCGGGCTCGCGAATCATGACCCGAGGCACGTGCGCGGACGAGCCGGGGCCCGGGGACTGTTAAGATCCCACCACTCCTCTGGGCGTAGGTGGTTTAACGAGAATCCCACCAGCCCTTTGGGCGACAGGTGGTCTAAGGAGGGTCTCCTCCTCTTCCACAAACTCTCCAACTCCATTATTAGATTTTTAGGAGAGGTTTCGCGAGGTGTTGGAGGCTCCTTTTTCGGCCAGTGGGAGGGCCAATGGTTCTGACACCCCTCACGAGGATCGTGGCCCCCGAGGGGGGACGCACATCGAGTACCCCCCCTCTTTTGACCGACCGCCTCCAAGCTGGCCCCAAGAGGCCCTCCAGCTCCAGGGCTCCCAAGAGGCCCCCTAAGAGGGTCCCACGAGCGCCCCAAGAGGCCCCACGAGGGTTTTCCAAGAGGCCCCCGAGAGGCCCCCAAGAGGCCCCAAAGCGGTCTCAGAGCGCCCATGATGACCTTCAAGATGGCTCAAGATAGCCCAAGCTGGCTCAAGATGGCTCCCAAGAGGCTCCAAGTGGTCCCAAGACCGCTCCAAGGCGGCTCGAGATGGCCACGGAGCCTCCCCACGAGGCCGCCGAGAAACCACGCGGGCCCAGAGATGGCCCCAACACGCCGTCCAGGCCAGCCGCCCTCGCAATTTGACTATGCGTGTCTCTTCCTCTCTCCCCCCGTCAGCTCCCCTCGGCATCGTTTCTGGATCAGCGGCTGGAGGGGATACGCGAAACGTCAAGAATTGCAGCCTCCCTACCGAGGCTCCCTCCTTCCCTGCTCGGGGGAGAAGATTACCCCTAATCTTCCCCTGGGCCTGGGATTGGGGGGGCGCGACCTGTTGGAGCGCCCACGATGCCCAAAGATGGCTCTAAGAGGGCCTCAGAGAACCCAATGTGGCATCCAAGATCGCCCCAGGCAGCGGAAGATGGCTCAAGATAGCCTCTGGCATGCCTCCAGGACACCGCAGCCTCAACACGGTTCCAAGTTGCCAAGTGTCCTTCGAGCGCCCCAAGGCACCACCCAAGAGGTCAAAATCCTTCAAAAACCAAAACCGAAAACCAATGTGTAATTTTCTAGGTTCTTCGTTTCCGAAGCTCCCACATGGCCCCAAGATGGCCCCAGAGAGCTCCAAGAGGAGCCCAGGAGAGTCCCAAAACGGACTCAAAAGCGCCCAGAAGCGCTCCAAAAACGGCCCAGAAAACTCCAAGACGGCATGTTTAGGCTTCCAAAGGGGGGGGGGCCTGAATTGAGGACCCCCCCCCCTTCCTGAGCCAGAGAAGCCGGGATCGGCCCAAGAGGCCTCCACTACTCCCACTTCGCACGGTCATTGCAGGGTTTTCACAGGGTCTCCCCCCCTTTGCAAATACAAACAAAAGAAGGGCCCCCTCTTCTGCCGGGTACGGAGCCCCATCATGCCTCCATATTCCTGTTCGCCCCCTGCTCGTCCTCCTGCTTCCTCTCCTCCTCCGCCCCCGCCTGCTCATCAGCCGCCCAGGCTCCGCCAGCTCCGTCATAACCTCCTCCCGCTCCTCATCATATTCCTCCACTTCTTACGCTTCTCCCTTCTACTCCCAAGATGGATGCGCTGGGGAGCCCCACGGGCTGCCCGCAACTAGGGATCCGAGAGCATGCCCTGTTGGAAAGGATGGCATCAGCGAAATGTCAGCGCTGTCACCGAGAGTCGCCACTGCTAATGAAGACATGTTGCATGACGCAACAGATGTTCCCGATCCTTACTGCGTGCCCATCCACAACGTTTACCATGTCAGCATGTCAGGGTCTCAGACTTTTTTGTTCTTATCATCGTCCTCCTTCTCCTCGTTCTTCTGCGCCCATACTAGCCTCCCCGCCCCGAGAAGGTCCAAATATAAATCCAAGAACGCCCCCAGGGGACTCCTTTTTGAAAACGTCGCAGCAGGAAGACACTCATGTGATCCAACAACTGTTCTAACCATTCCTGCGCCCCGGATACGCTTCCATGGCGGCCCGTTCCATTACCTGTTTCAACACTGCCGTGATTCGAGCAACTCGCCTGGCGATAGTTTTCTGGATGGGCTGGGCTGGTAAGGATACATGTTTGATTGCGAATGACGCGGAAGCAGCCGCGCACCGTCAAATGGTCGAGCAGCACAGAGTCAAGGCGTACAGCGCAACTGTCGCGCGCGAAGCGCAGGAAAAAAAGGCCACGATGGTGGCGAAACTACCAGGCGACGCGCAGCGCGGCTGGTAATAATGGGGGGACAGTGGGACCATGACATTCAGGAACACAACATGGCCCTCTCCATGTTATCCTCTGGTCATGCCCCGCTCTTGGCAACTCCCGGGATTCTTCATCGCGAGCCGTTTCTCCGACGTCTCCGGGAACAGAGGAGGGCCGCGCGGGCCCGAGGGCGGCAAAGGACGTCCAAAACCCACGTCCTCCAAGACGCCCGTCCTTCATGCCGACTTTCGCGGGGGGGGGGGGCAAAGGGAAGGCAAACAACCCTTTTCAAAACACCCTTGAGCGGAAACGACCCGGGACCAGCCCTGGCGGGCGCAGGCCCGCGACAAAAACGTTATCTTTTTCACCGTCCCGAGAAACGAGAAAGGGTAATGAGCCCAACCAAGTTGGCAAGGTTGGGTCTCTATCAGCCGCCGAGACTTGCCGAGAGAGGCAGGGAGAATGATCAAGAGGTTCAGGAGTGTCGACCGTCGAGGAGGGGGATCCATGACCGAGGAGGAGGATCCAGGATCGATGATGCTGGAATTCCACCAGGGGCGTCTAACGGGAGCGTCCCTTCTTCCAAAAACCCTCTTGCCTCCAGGGAGGTTTACACCGCCCCCTCCTCCCGGAGGTTGTTTCGGAGTGCCGCGGAGTGTCAGGGCGCCCAAGATGGCCCAAGATGGTTCCAAAAAGGCCTCCGATGCTTCTAGATAGCCTCCGAGATTGCTCAAATGGTCGACGATGGTTCACGCTAGCTTCTGGCATACCTCCAAGTGGCCCGACGAGGGCAAAAGACGGTTCCATGTGCTCTCGGAACCCCCTCAGGCCCCCCAAGAGGCCCAAACCCTTCAAAAATCGTGGGAGCATAAATGTTGGTTGCCTTCTCGCCGTTTCGCTTCCCATGCGCTTTTGAAGCCTCGAGATGCCACAAGATGGCCCAAGAGAGACCCAAGAAGGGCGCCGAAGAGCGCCTCAACGGGGCTACTAGAGTCGACTCCGGCGGCTCGGGTGGGGTGAGAGGTGGGAAGTGTGGGGTGGGGGTGGGGAGGGGGGGGCGAAATCGGAGACCCCCCCTCCTTTTGATCGATGGCCTCCAAGATGGCCCCGAGAGGCCCTCCAGGGCTCTCAAGGCACCCCCAGGCGGGCTCCCAAAAGGCCGCACGCAGGCCCCGAATCCCCCCAACAGAGCCCAAAGAGGACCCAAAGATCGCCGAAAAGAGTCCCAAGATGGCTCCAAGAGGCGGTTTTGAAGGCTCTCTCCTCGTCCTCGCTCTCGTCCTCATCCTCAACTTCGTCCTCGTCCTCGTCCTTGCCCTCTATCGCCTTCCTTTTTCTTTTCATCATCTTCCTTGTCGTCGTGGCCGTCGCCGTCGCCGCCGCCGCCGCCGCCGTCGTCGTCGCCGTCGTCGTCGTCGTCATCGTCGTCATTGTCGTGGTCGTGGTCAACGTCTTCTTCTTCATCCTCCTCCTCCTCGCCCCCGCGTGGGCCAGAGGGATGGCCCGAAGAGGCCTTCCAAGGCAACCCTCTCGCTCCCAGAGATCTCTCTGCTCACCCTGGTCGCCCGCTTCGCTTCACTACATGTCTCTTTAGTCCTTTTCCCCGTCAGCTCTCATGGGGCGGGCCGGGAGCAGCGCGCGCGCTGGGGGGCAAGATCGGGGGCAAATTGCCGACGCAGACGCCCGATTTCAAGCTGCCTTGTCGGCAATCAAAACTCACAGCTCAACCCGCCCCTCGCTAGAAGCCCCCTTAGTTGAGCGTTCAATGATCCGAACACCGCGCGTCCCAGGAACATCAAAACAGATCGCGACCCTGCGCGGGTAGCGTTGGAACGATGATAGTGTTTGAATAGGCTTGTGGAGATACTTTTTAGTCAACGGCCGCGGGCGGAAGCGCCGACGGCGTGTCAAGTCGAAGCGGGGCGCGCCACAGACTAATTCACAGAAAACTGGGGCACAGTACAGCCAGGGTGCGCATGCAAGAGGCCGATGCTGATTAGGCAAGACCTGGTGGAGATACTTTTTGGTTCGCGGCTCCGAGGCGGATGACAGGGAGCAAAGACAGCGTCCGGGGCGCGTGACGGTGTAAATTGGCCACCGAGGCGAATGCACGTGCAAGGGACAAAATGACCCTCATGAAAACGCAAGCTGCGTTGGCAGGAGACCGAACCAGACAACCTGGTGGAGATACGCGAAACGTGAACAACGTCCGCCTACCATCTGGCCAGCCCGTCGGCGCTCCCCGTCGGGCCAGCGCGGCCGCTCGGGGACGAGCCACCCCCGCAGCCGGCGCGCCTCGGCGACGAGGTGCAGGGACTCCTGCCACCTGCGCGCGGGGCGGGCGAGGAGCAAGGGCGGGGAGAGGGGGAAGGTCATGAAGATGAGGACGAGGAGGAGGAGGACGAGGAGGAGGAGGAGGAGGAGAAAGAGCAGAAAGTACGATCAGGAAAAGTAGGAGCAGGCAGGGGAGGAGGAGCAGGACGGGGGTCAGAGGAGGATGCCTTTTCCCTTGGCGCTGACTGGGGGAGATGCGCCGAGCATCGTCGCGGAACCACTCGCAGCTCGAAGCTTGCAGCAGGAGCGAGGGAGGAAAGGAGGAGGAACATTGAGGAAGAGGGGGAGGAGGAAGTGAGCAGGAAGAGGAGGAGGAGAAAGAGCGGGAGCATGAGGGGGATGGAGAAGCAGGAAGGGACGTGTCCCGCCCGCGCCAGGGCCTGGGATGAGTGCCCTGTGCCAGGCCCCCTCTCGAGAGCCGTGGGCCCCCTGCCCCTGCTCCATCCCCTGGCTTCTTCCACTTCATCCCTGCCTCCCGCCCTCCAGTCCCAGGGAGCCCACAAAGGACGTACGCGCCCAACTATGTACATGAACACGGCCCCTCGATCCGCGAGACCGGCCGCGTTATACGAACATTTGTGCAATGCGTACTCTCGAAACCAGCGTGGATTCATGTACATGTACGTCCTCCTTTCGCTCCCGAAGTCCTTCTCTCCTGCCCTCCCTCCCCTCCCCGCCTCCCTCCCCTCCCTCCCCCTCCCTCCTCTCCCGGCCTCTCTTCCGCCTCTCTGGCTGCAGGGTCGGCCAAGTCCTTTGCCTGAAAACTTCAGCTCTGGCCTCGGCTTCAGCTGTGATGCACTTCGACGTACACTCGGGCCAGCTTACCCGAGTCTGCTTTCCGCTCGCACGGGTGCCTCCTCCCTCCCTCCACTCCCTCCCTCAATCAGCCCCCCCCTCCTTCCCTCCCTGCTCGCTCCAGCATCCCTCCTCCCCCCTTTCCTACCCCTCGCAAACCTCCGACGTCGAGACTTCCTCATAACGTAACCCTCCAACATCTGGATCCCTTCTCCGCGACGGGCTTTTCATGTTAAGTAGTTCTGAGGAAGGTCGTGGGGCCCGCAATGGTCGCCAGAAGCCGGAGATGGGCAGAAACCTTCCGTCGTGATGACTGTTCTGTTGTGGAGCTCGCGAAACACCAAATCACGTCCGCAGCACACTGCCTCCCGACCCTGGCTGCTGGCTGTCGAGCGCACGCAACCGGGCGCAGCCCGCCAGACCCAAGACTGCAACGGGGCAGCAAGGCAGATGCAGATGTCACGGCAGGAGGGGGCGTCTCTGGCCACGGCGAGGCTCGGCCACGAAAAGCCCCCCCCCCACCCAGGTATCTCTAAGGAACAGCACAGAGACCAGAGGCCCTGCTGAGCCCAAGTGGGTCCTTATATTCCAGAGTCGTGTCTGTATGCGATCTCCCTCCTTCCTCCTTCCGTCCCTCCCTCCAACCTTCTGTCCCTCCCTTCTTCTGTCCCTCCTTCCTTTTGTCCCTCCACTCCCTTCCAGGGAGGGAAGAATCCTCCCTCCCTGCCTCTCCTTCCTCGCCTTCTCCCTGCCTTGCTCCCGCGACGGGAACATGTTTTGGCGCCCTCGAAGGCCCAGAGGGGCGAGAAAGCGGCGCGCCGCTCACCTCGACGACGAGGACGTGCTCCGCGGGCTTCTCGGGTGCGCCGCAGAGTGCGAGGCGGACGTATGTCAAAACCAACACCAAATAAACCGATCTCCTGGGGCCACGGCCGCCAGTGGATGTGGATATTTCAAGCCCCCCACAAATGCCTGAATATATCCATATCCACCGCCTGCCGGTCCCCGAAGATCGATCCCCCAGGCGGCGGTTCCAGATGAAACCCAGCCTCGGAAAGAGGACGAGGGGGGCTGGCGCATCATGGCTGGAGGCACGTGCGCAGACGAGGCGGGGGGAGGCATGGGCGCACTGAAACAAGACGATTGGTAATGACAAGGCGAAGATGATCAACATCACGAAGCCAAACAATAATCAGAAAAGGGAACGGGACACATCGCAATACACATGGGAAGCGTACGAAACACGAAACGAAGGAGCGAACACACAAAGCATGACGTCTGGAAAATCCCTGCCCGCCGCCATGATGTCCTCACAACCCAAACCCAACGTGGCCTGACCGACCCCCTCCCGTGACGAGCCCCAGCCGCAACGACCCCCACCGCCCTCGGAGGCTCCCCTCTGGCCGCCTGCCCACGTCTTGGAGCGAGGAGAGGGTGCCGCCTCTGGAGTAGGAGGAGGGGGGGGAGGATGACAGGGAGGAGGAGGAGGAGGAGGAGGAGGAGGAGGAAGAGGAGGAGGAGGAGGAGGAGCACGAGGAGCAGGAGGAGCAGGAGGAGGACGCGATGGGGGACAGAGAGAAGGAGAAGCAGCATCAGGAGGAGGAGGAGGAGGAAAAGAGCAGGAACACGAGGAGGAGAAGGAGGAGGGGCAATGGGGGGAAGAGGAGGAGGAGGAGGAGGAGGAGGAGGAGGAGGAGGAGGAGGAGGACAGGGAAGAGGAGGAAGTAGAGAAGGAGGATGAGGAGGAGGATGAGGATGAGGATGAGGATGATGAGGAGGAGGAGGAGGAGGAGGAGGAGGAGGAGGAGGGGGAAGAGGAGCACAGGGAGGATAAGGAGATGGATGGCAGGGAGGAGGCACACGGCCAGGAGGAGGAGGAGGAGAGGAAGGATGCGGAGGAGGAGGAGGAGAAGGAGGAGGAGGAGGACTGGACTGGACTGGAACTCTGGGAATCCACTGAGGTCACACAACGTGAGAACCAGACATCGCCGACTCCGATCGTACAAGTGTGCTGGATTCAGAGACGCACTGTATGCCACTAGCCTGACACACGGCCCAGCGCCGCGCTCTGCGGAGCAGCACTGGCCCTGGCCGCACACCAGCGCACGGGCACGCAGCCCTGCTGGGTGGGCACTCAGGCACGGGACGAGTCTTCTCCCCTCCCCCGACCCCCCGACACCCGACTGGACGACGCCCGCCCCCTCCCTCTACTAAAGCCTCTCAAGCGAGGCGGAAGAACTACGACTGGTACAGTTGGCAGCTCTGGCTGACTGTAGCTGGGCACTGCCCGTGCATTCACCCCACGGAACGGGCCCGCAAGGCCTCGAGGGGGGCATTCTGATTCACAATACCTCTAGCTACGAGCTGCTGGAATCTGAAACTAGATTGCACCCGGCCTACTTGCGATCGCTCCCGATCAGTGATGATACTTCTCGATCCAGTGGCCCCCTCGGGGCTGGCCCTGGAAGGTACACCCCCCCCTCCGCGATCACGAGCTTTTCGAAGAGCGTCGCCATCATCTGGCCCAGCTCTACATCCCGATGGAACGTCATATAGATTGCCCCTTTCTGGGGGGGGGGCCCTCCTCCTTGCGAAAGATCCTCGACCGAAAGTACGGGCGCGCCCTCGCCACCGTCAGCATCTCTCCCTGCCTGATGATCCCCCACATCTCCACCATCCTCTTCTTGAGCTCCTCCTGCTCGTGCTGCTGGGGGCCCGCCGACGGCGTGAACGTCGCTCCGTAGTATGCCGCGACATGACGATGGACACATGTGGTGGGCCCCTCTTGCGGAAGTCCACCTTCTTGCCGCTCTTGGTCTTCTCCCTGGGCTCCTTCGACGCCTGGTCGCACTCGCGCCCCGCCTGCTGGCGCGCCGCCACAAGGCCGCCCGACGCCAGCACCTCGTACTTGAGAAACACGGCGGACGACAGGTCGGCGAGCTCGCGGGACATCACGAGGACGAGCTTGCTCGTCGCCTGGTGGAGCCGCTCCTGCTTGTTGCCCCCGCCGCTGTGGTTGGAGCGGTCGCCCACCCCGCCCTTCTTGCCGCCGCCGCCACCCCCCTCGATCTCCGCCCCCCTCTTGCCTGGCTGCTTGAACCAGGAGGGCATCAGCACGTCTCCCGATCCCGATCCGCTCGCCGCCGAGGCCGCCGCTGCTCCCTCTGGCATGTTCCGGTGAAGGGTGAAGTGCGGGAAGCTGGAAAGGAAGATGACCACGCATGTGGTCGCACAGCTGCAAGAGGTTCGAGCCCTCGCACGGACACAGGGGACATGCCAGGGACGTCGGGGCCGTCGCAGTAGACTTTAATGTTGAGGGCCCCCGTGTTTCACAACTTCCCCTGGCTAGCGAACCCTGTAGGTGCCGAGCTGCGTTAGACCTGCTGCCAAACATTTGCTTACAAGTAATGCAGATGTTGCTCGGGGTAATCTGGTGGCGTAGATTGTGAAGACCGTGAACCCGACATAAGTGGTTCATTAAATCACGCCTCGCGTAGAAGGTCGCCTCACTTATACGTCCTGCCTCCAAATACATGTCACATGCCAGCCGGAACTCCTCCCCCATTACCTCCGCCTCCTCATTGTTCTGGGTTGAGATCTTTACATGGTCTAAAATATTTCAGAACATGTGCATATCGTTGCCACCTCCTTGTCCATTTCCTCCTCCTCCAGGCGGCGGTATATGTATAGAGTAGACCCTAGCCCTGAGCTCAGAGAAATCCAACGCGACACACTCCGAGGCCTTCTCGGCATCCCCAAAGATATCCAAATCATCAACCAGTTCATCAAGGGCACAACTATCCAGGACAGCGGCTGCCTCCACGATGTCGGAATGTAACTGTCTTGCCCACGGAGACGCGAAGCCAGTAGGACGGCCGTTGGACAGTTGCGGACGATCGATGTCCATGGGCGTAGAACCGAACAGGCAGCACGATACCTGGGAGTAATGGGCTGGGTCCTTCGCCCACGACTGGTACATCCCTAATCTCCTCGTCCGAAGCTCGATCACACTGGGGGTAAGACGCCAGTACGCCAGCACCTGCTCCGTAGTCAAGCTCCTGACATGGTCAGATGATCTGGCCTGCGCAACCTCCGTCGCCGTCGATGCCTTCCCCATCGTAGCGATGCGGCCAAGAGCAGCAAGCCCCCTGTCAAGACGAATGTAATCGTTAGCCGATAGTACCAAGGCCTCTAGTC